AAAGTGAACCCTTTTGTGGTGACATCACCACTGAAGGTCTTATATTCAACGGTATACTTTTAGCGGTGACAAAAAAAGTCATCACAGAAAGTTGACTTTTAGTGGTAACTTTTTTCGTGTTGTCGTTGAAAGGTATACTTTCAATGGAGACAAAAAAAGTCACCACAGAGTTGACTTTCAACGAGGCATTTTTGTCGCAGCTGAAAGTCTTATTGTTAGCAGTGACTTTTTAGCGTCGTTGCAGAAAGTCGTCACAGAGAGCCGTCACCTAAAGTCGTTTTTTTGTAGTGAATGTTGTGTGTGAGTATTAAAGATTTTATGCTTTAGAGTTTCTATCCTGTTGTGAGACAGTTGTCATGGATCTTGTTCTGAGTCCCAGACTCTGTTTCTTTTTTTTTCCCCCCTCTTTTTACTAGATTGGATTCAGCTTATAACAATTTGGAATTTTTGTGGAGTTGATCTCTGCTTGTCAATTGCAGCAAATGTATAGGCTGTTATATGTCTACTGTTGGTCATTCTTATCAAAGTGCACTAGAGTTTCTTTTTTTAAATATATATATAAAGTTTTTCGTCGCAGGTTTTTAAGCATGGTATCTCTTTTTAATATAGACGAAAAGTGGATGGCAAATAAAATGCCACTTAGCATTAGGAAGCCCTGGATAATATTTCCCACTGCTGCACTGCAGATGATGTTAGGTGCTATTTAGAGGTTAGATAAAAAACCTTTGCGATTATAGTTTCTATTTTTATATTTTATTTTTACGATTTCTTAATGTATGAGTTAATTGAAAATTTGACGTTGGTTCTATATATAATGTATTTCACATGTTTATCAATTTTTTTAATTAAGTTATTAATATTTTTCCAATAATAATCAGGTCAGAATGTTTCGGATGTTTAAAAAAAACATATCATATTAACTAATTTAACTAATATTTTTAATTTACTCAAATTAATTAATTAGGTCTTATGTTAATGACGGGAGGAGTACTTTTTTTTTTAATCATTCCAATAACTACTCTTCTGTTATTGGGTAATATGCACATCATTTACTTTTCATCCGTAGACTATCACATATCCTTTGGGGTCTGGCAATCTTTTTTTTTTTTTTTTTGTGATGCTCGAAACTGTGAAAACTTAACCCTTCCTAGCTGCTGTTATTTTTTCTATCTGTTTCACATTCAACAAAATACATTTTTCTACTTACTCAGAAATTAGAAATTAATATTTTAATGCAAAAAACAACTTGAATATCTATAATCTATTTAATATTTAATTGTCCAACTTGTCCCTTACTCCCATGTCTTTTGTTTCTTTCAAGGCATTTTTGAAATCTTACTATGAGTATTTTACTATTTTTTCACGTAAATTCTATATTATTCACTTAAGTTGCTAAAAATTAAATAGTTCAGTGAATTCCATTTGATAACAAGTTAAATTTAGATGCACTGATTGTTCAGAAATAGAAAAGGCAGTCGATGCACTGTGTCTTCCACGATAGAGAAGAAAGCTTTTACTTCCAGCATTTCTTCTTTGAGATATATCATGGCAGCAAACCATACATCCAGCATTCTTGTTTTCCAGAAAATTGGTGAATAGCCAAGTTATTTATTTTATGCTTTTCATCTTTCTTTGTTTCATGTCTTTATGAAACTTGAACCGAATTGATTTGGTTGTACGGAATAAAATAACTGAACATTTCTGGTTTGTTATTTGATTAGACATTGATAAGTGACGTTTTCTAAATTTGCTTACTGGACAATGTTTAATTTGCTTCTATTTCTTCAAAAGGGTCATGCACCAAGTCGCAGAGAGAAAATGTTGCTTATAATAGGATGGGAAAGAGTAAAACCCTATTCCTCACCACCTATGGATTGTTTTCCAAATTTACCTCAATTAAATGAAAGAAATAAGCGAGAGAAATTGGATAATTTTTTTTAATACTCATTAAATAAGAATAAATTTGAAAAAAATCACATTTTAAATGTCTTAACTCCCCCCCCCCTCAATATGTGAGATTTGGTCCCACTAGATTAAAATGGTATACTCTATCTTCCCATATGAATAAGGGTATTTTTGTTTGGTGGTATAGAACAAGGGTATTTTTGAGAAAAGAATTATAGTTTTTTCATATTTATTATCTCTAATTAATTTTAATTAACTTTTTAATCAACATGATTGGATTAGTTGTCTCTTATAAAAAAAACTAAGACAATAACTGTCGATCAATTTAGAATTTCAAGGAAGCATTAATTATTTTGTCAATTTTTTAATAGGTACTAATATTCTCTTATTAAAGAAAATCCTGTTCAAGTTATTATCGGACATAAAATATGGGTATCTCTTTGAATAAGGATTCGAATCTTTATACAGAACTAGACTCTTCCACTGTTGGTTTTTGTCAATGTTCTACCCTTCATTAATATTTTAATTTGCCATGACAAACGTACCCCTTCTTAAGAGAGTATTTAAGTAAAAAATATTTGAATAGGATATCATTCAGTTTTAGGAAAATTTAAAGACAACGACCTAGAGAAAATATCATTTATTGAAAAAGATTTTACAAATTATAATTATTTAGAATGATCAAACATTAAAATATAAATTCAAAGATACTAAACTACTCCTATTTAAATTTCTAAATTTCTTTTAATCACATCTCACATGTGTTTCATGTTTTGTAGACCGACTACTATAATGCCTAACATATTTCATACTTTAATGATATTAGATTAAAAGTATAAATCCATCACTTTCACATAAATCAGCAAATAAGCAGAAAAATGAGTTCCTTTTCTCAATACTATTCCTAATTTGTTATCAATTTTTGTAATTTTTTTTGTTTTTATTAATCTTGTTTTTTGTGTATTAAAGTAAATAATAATTTAAAAAAGTATCAAGTTTAAGAGAATCAGAAATTTCAGATATAAAAAATAATTCAGAAAATATTATTTATTTAATTATTTATTATTTTAAAAAATGAACTTAAGGAAAATATTTATAAAAAGTTTTAATTGTATTTATTAAAATCAATGAAAATATATTTATTCAAATTTAGTATATATGCATATATACACACATATAGTAAAACAATTTGTAAAATAAAAAAATTAAAGAAAGAGATATTTGATTAACAATAGAGGAAATTTCAATTGAAAGTGGAAGAAAGACAGATAAAAATTAACTACTGCTAGCACTAGTTTCATTTCATTGTGTGTTTAGCAATTAGCATATAAAATATTTTGAATTAATAATAAATAATTTTGATTTGATTTTAATAAATTTTGTTGCAAATATTGATGAGAAAAAGATTATAAAAAAATTTAGTAAAAATTAAGGAGATTATAAAGAATATATGGACTTGTGATAGGAGAAAACATAAGGATTTAGTTGAAGGTAGTTTAGTATTTTTAAATTAATATTTTAGTGTTGGGTCCTTATACATAATTATTTTTTTTAAAAATCTTATCAATAAATATTTTTTTCTAAGTCCTTCTTAATTTTCCTTAGGTTTTATTATAACCTGAATTAGTACTTTATTTTAATATTTTTCTTAGTTTGTGTCAATTCCACTCCATACTTAGATGAAATCTTAAATTGGAACATGACATTGAGACGTTTGCATGGGTGTTTTTAAATTGTATGGAAAAGAAAAGGGGGGGGGGGAAATTGGAGAATAGATTGAGTGTAAACATTTTGTTTTTGGCCCGCCAATGAATATTTAACTAGAACGTACAGTTACATATTTTGGGTGTAACACTGTGGAATCGTTAGAACATATTTTCATCTCTTGTCCTTTCTCTGAAGCTGTATGAATTCCAAGAATTTGTAATATCAAATTAGTTGATTTAAAGGCACAAAGATAAGCTATTTAATAGTAAGGGTTAATATAATCTTTAGTCTCTCAAGTTTGCTCTCATTTTGGTTTTGGTCCCTCAAATTTCAAATCATAGGTTTTGATCCCTCTAGGGGCAAAATGGTCCAAATTTTTATTAGGTCATAGGAATTAATATTTTAAATGAAAAGAAACTTGAGGAATCAAAACTTATGATTTGAAATTTGAAGGACCAAAACAAAAATGAAGACAAACTTAAGAGACCATAGTTTATATTAACCCTAATAGTAATATTCATATGATATCAAATTAGTTGATTTTGAGGTGGAGGAGGAGAGAATCACTAAGATTGCAGCTTGAATTCGTACTGCGAACCTAAGCCTAGCCAGATTATATACATACTATGACAAAGGAGCTCTTTATGTCCTGGGGATTGCAAAAAATAGCAAGAGTTTTATAAGTTAACAATACCTGAACACCCCCTCACGGCAAAGAAAACATGGTCTAATACAATACTCTACGAGGGTGTTCATCTCATTTTCTTCGATCAGAATTTGCCTGTAGTAAACGAAATGAAACCAAAAAATAAAATTAGATGAAAAAGGTACTAAATTGAAATCTCAAAAATGTAATATTGAAATCCCAATATGACTAGGAAGGTCAACATTTTAAGTTACCGAAATAAATACTCCTCCGGTCCTAATTATAAGACCCAATTGACTTATTTGAGGAGATTAAGGAAGTAATTTAAGTTGGTTATTTATAATAAATAAGTGTTGTCATTCCTAAAATATCCTTGCTAATTAAGTATATTGGCTAAAACTATCATTATTAGAAGGATTATCTTGGAAAAAAATGTATAAATATAAGAGACAAAATGGATTGGGGTCTTATAATTAGGACCAAATAAAAAGTCAAATGGGGTCTTATAATAAGGAACGGAGGAGTATATGAATAAATAATCATTATTTATAAATAACATTAAAAGAACCTTAAATTTAATAAAGGTTAAATCTGTAATAATATTCAAACAGAAGACTGAAACACTAAGAATATCTCCACGTGGTACGGCCTTTACGCACGGCATCATTATAGACCCCCCCCCCCAAAAAAAAAAAGTCCTCCAAGAAACTTTCTTAAAGGTTCTCATCCTTCCTGCAAGCTGCTAAAAACGACATTCTGAAACGCTTCTTCTATGTGTATTCGGAAGGTTACCTTCAACGGTCAACTCTTCCAACAATGCAGAATTTAAAATGCGGTAATCAAAATAGAAATGACCAGTAGAATTGAACTGTCTGAGACCATCTCCATGAATCACAAACTCATCAGCCACAACCGGATTATAAGGATTTTGATACATTGGCTCATCTATGATCAATCTCTGAAGCTTGGCAGGTGGTTTACTCACCGTCGTCACACCTTCCCAAAAACAATCTTCTGCATGTAAGGTCTCAAGAACAGGACACCCAGAAAATAGAGCTTGAGTTAATTGTTCTTCGAAGAAGACCGCATCGCATAGCTTCAACGTCTTTAGGTTTGGCAGGCAAATTGAAGGATGCACTATAAGCCTCTGATGGGCCCGTTCGATGTGTACATGGGTCAGTGTTGCTAAATTATGCAAGCTATGAGGGAAGAATAAAGGCACTTCGAGGTGTTTGAGATGGAGTTCACAATCTTCGACGTTACATCGCGCGGCAACAGAAACCAATGCTTCAACAGGAAGTAGGGCATTCATGCGGCCTACGAGTTTAAACTTTGCGATTTTAGATGATCCTCGAAGTGACAATGTTCTTCCAATAAAATTCATGAAATCCTCTGCACTTTCGGTTGTTTGGGTGAAATCTAGTATGGAAATTGGTGTCCATAAATATTGCCACCTCTTGCATAATATGCTGGTTTGAATAGCTTCTTTAAATGGAAGAAATGAAAGAATATGTAAAAGAACATCGTCATCTAACTCGCTCAGGCTTCCGATTCTGAAACTACGATTCATGTCCTGCTGCAGTAGTTTGGCTTCCCTTCTCAAACAAGTAACGCCCATGATCTCAGCTAGCTGCAACACAACAATGTTAATACGTATATGGCCGAAACAGATTGATAAGAAAAATCTAAGGCAAAAGAAAACATATGATTTCTTAAAAAATAAAGATCTATTTTATGTAAGTTAACATATAGATTAATAATAAAGAAATTATGCGTTTGTTTATATATGTTAGTAGCTGTGTGTGTATTAAAGAAGAGCTTCATTTTTTTCATCCCCAAAACAAGCCATAAGAAGAGCTTCGTCTAAATCAACAGGAAAGAAGAAAGAAATGAAAGAGCTGATGCGGAGTACCTTGCGGCCGTGACAGGTCTGTATTAAAGAGCCGATGCGCGCCTGGGCCTTGTTGGCCACAGACTTCTTCAATTCCTGCTTAACGGCTAATTAAGGCAAGTGTTGGAGGGCAAGACTGGAATTTAACCTCATGTATTAAAAGCTTAACTACCCCATCTAGTCTCATTTGACTGAATCCAATAACAGTCCTTGTTAATTTTCTTCTCCTAAATAATTTCTCACAATAATACTACCAGATCCTATTTGACTTTTATTTTGGTTCTAAATATAAGATCCCAATCCACTTTGTTTCTCATATATATATTTTCAAATTAGCCCTTCTAACAACGATAGTTCTAGCCAATACACTTGATTAGCAAGGATATTTTAGGAAAGACAACACCTATTTAGGACAAATAACTAAGTCAACTTACTTTCTTAATCTCCTCAAATTAGTCAACTGGCTCTTATAATTAGGACCGGAGGTAGTAAAACAAAAGCAAAAACCAATCATGCAAACAAAAATAGTGTGTGTGTGTGTGTATGACAATAACATGCATCAGTCTACCCTCATATATCACTTTCTTCAATATCAATAATCTCTAAGAAACCGAAACATACTAACCAACCCATTCCTTTTCTTTAGGAAATATTCTTCAAATTAGGGGACTTTGTTCGGCAAGTCTTCCTAGAATATGCGAAACTTTTGGCAAATTTTTACTTATGTGTATTGTAAAAGATTGAACATAAACACTTCTTTAAAAAAGTACGTGAAGATTTTTTTTTTGGTCAAAAGCAGAAATTCATTCATATATCAGCAAGAACGGTCTTTACATCAATAAACCAACACCTGATCTATCTTGTGAGCTACCAAGAACATCAGATTGCAAAATCTTAAGGAGAGGGGTTGGGGGGAAAGAGGACCATCCACCACTAAACAACCCCTTTACAGCTTCCTTGGCAAGCCAATCTGCTGCCATATTACCAGAACGAGGGATGTAGACCAAAGATAGCTCCTGACATCTCTCAAAAACAGCTGCAAGTTCTTCAACCAAAATTCCTGCACGCCAGTCAGGACAAGATGCTTTCCTTTGTACTGCATCTACCAGCATCTTGCAATCAGATTCCACACAAATAGGACCCAATTCTTTATCTACTACATGATCCACAGCTTCCCTCAAAGCTAACGCCTCACTGTGAAAGGGAGAAGATGCTGCATTCTTCTTTGCACCTAGATGTACAACCTGACCTGCATCATTTCGCAGAATAAAACCAGCACCACCACAAAGGTTAGTAGCAGAAAAAGCCCCATCAGTATTAAGCTTTAAAACACCCTTTGGTGGTAAAGACCACTTATAGGTGGAAGAAGGGGAAACCAAAGTTTCTTGCTTAGCTTCTAACCAAAGATTTACTGTCCAAAAATCAAAGACAGCTTTACTGGCCGAGCTAAGAACCCAAGACAGATTAGGCTCCTTTCGGTCATATAATTCACAGCATCTAGACTTCCAAATATACCAAAGCAAGTAAGCCACATGAGCTTGGGCAAACTCATCCTCATGAAGCAAGTTAATAATAGACACAAACCAATCAACAAAGTTATCTACCGTTGAATCAGATAAACATAAACAAAGAGGACTAGCAAACCAAATCCTTTTAGACCATTCACACAGCAGAAGTAAATGCTCAATAGACTCCACACCCTCACAGCATCGTAGGCAAACAGGAGCTGAAGCACATTTTCTCTTAAAAAGTGCTTCCATAGAAGGTAAGGCATTATTACAGACTTTCCAGAGAAAATGTTTAATCTTTGGTTGGACCTTTAACTCCCAAATGATCTTCCAAATTTCCTTAGGAAACACCCTAGAAGAGCTAGGACCAGATGCAGCAGTATGCGTCTCCTTTTGCTTCAGCCACTTATATCCTAGCTTAACCAAATAGATACCATTGGAGCTACCAAGCCAGTTTACCTTGTCCTTTACACCAGAATTTGGAATACTAATCGAAACAATCTTTTGCTTAACATGATTAGGAAGGGAGATTTCTTCAAGGTTCCAACACCCTTCTTCTATAACACTCTCCACTATCCTATTTTCTATAGGATCTGGGGCAAGATCACTAGGGATTTGGGAATCAGGTAGGTTTGGGATCCAAGCATCCCTCCAAAAGTCTTCTCTAGCTCCATTCCCAATTTGCCAAAAGATATTAGACTCTAACAATTTCCTGCCTGCTAGTAAACTACTCCAACCCCAAGAGGCTCTCCCTCCTTTCTTGGCACCCATAAAAGTACAATGAGGAAAATAAATCCCTTTGAGAACCCGAACCCATAAAGCATCAGGTTCAGTTAAAATCCTCCAGCATTGTTTGCCTAAAAGTGCAAGATTAAACTTTTGAAAATCCTTAAAACCCAAACCTCCATCCATCTTTCCCCTAGTCATAATTTCCCAAGATTTCCAATGAATTTTCCTACCCTTCTCTGTAGATCCCCACCAAAAATCTGAGATAATTCTATCTAAATCTTGACAAGCTTTCTTGGGATATTGAAAACAAGCCATTGAATAAGTTGGAACAGCATTGGCTACTGCTTTTATAAGAGTCTCTTTCCCTGCTTGAGAAAGAAACTGCTTATTCCAGCTAGTGACTCTCTTTCTTACCCTATCCCTTACAAATGCCAAAGCTTCCACCTTTGATCGACCCCATAAGATAGGAAGACCAAGGTAGTTACTTGGAGAATCAGCCATTGGGATCCCTAAAGAATCACAAATAGACACCTTTATATCATTAGTAGCTTTTGAAGAGACAAAGACACAAGACTTATCAAGATTTATCTTTTGCCTAGAGGCAGAGCAATACTCTTCCCATATACTCTTTAACACAAGGCAATTAGAAGTAGTTGCATTTAGGAAGAAAATAGAATCATCCGCAAAAAAACAATGAGAAAGTTCAGGACAATGGCGAGTGATCGAGATACCCTTCAAGTCTCCTCTCTCTACATGATTCATGACCATTTGGGACAAGACATCAGCTACTAAAATAAACAGGTATGGAGAAAGAGGGTCACCTTGGCGAAGCCCTCTTTGGGGTAGAAAGGAATCCACTGTACGCCCCTCAAGCTTCACAGAGAAAGACACTGAAGAAACACAGTTCATAATTTTAGAGACCCATTTGCTGTCAAAATTGAGTTTCAATAAAACAGCCTCAAGGAAGTCCCATTCAACACGGTCATAAGCTTTATTCATATCAATTTTAATAGCTGAGTCATAGGTGTCCCCCTTCCCACTCTTTAAAAAGTGAAAAGCTTCATGAACTATAAAGATGTTATCTTGGATCATACGCCCAGGAACAAAAGCCCTCTGCTGTTCAGACACAATTTTAGGCAAAATATGCTTCATCTTGTTGGCTAAGACCTTAGAAAACACTTTATAACAGAAGTTACAAAGGCTAATAGGCCTAAAATGACTTACAGACTCAGGGGCATCAATCTTTGGAACCAAAACAAAAAGTACGTGAAGATTAAATGGTAAGAAAACTAAAAAAAAAAATTCTACATCTATAATGTTTGGTTTGGTTTTTAATCTAACAAAATTTATTTAGTTTGGTCACTCAAAACCCTTAAACACCATGATGATGATTCTAAAGGAAGGGATTGGTCATCATGTCAAATTAATTCCACTTGAATCACAATTATTGCTCCTAATTGGGTCATGATTGCGTCGGTGCTATATATAATCAAATTATTTTATATATTAATTAGATATAAAACATGATTAATATTTTATGGAAAACTAAGTAAAAGTTCTCATTAAAAATTTTATTGGATATAAGGATTTATATTACTGTACTGGAACACAATGTGCAAAATCTTTAAAGTACTGGTCTTTTCTGTGTTCAATGTGTACAAAATTTGAAAATCTTTTAAGTACTGGTCTTTTCTGTGTTCAAAAACTGTTTAGCCTCTTCTCATCAATAGAATTTTTAATGTAGATTTTTCTCCGATATTTTTTACTATTGAAACTAATAAAAACTAATAAAAAGAGACCTTCAAATGACTAGATATAAATACCAGTATGTGCTCTAGTAACACTAATGATTGATCACACGATTTGAAATAAAGAACATAATAATATCTTTTACGTAAGACATAAAGTTCAAATAGCTCTATCTAGGAACTTGTAATTGAAATATAAATACACTTCAATTCAAAGTCGTAAGATGTTTGGATCATGGTTAAAAATAACATATAAAGTTATATTCATCATCAGGTTTCCAATAAAAGAAGACGGCAAGGAAGTAGAGTTTGACATGAAAGTAAATGAAGATTAAGAAGCCTGAGGTAAAGATATTAGAGGCAGTCGAAAGGTAATTGTCCTCTGGCCTTTATCGTGTATTAATGCTAAAAAATTAGCGTTACAATTCCAATGAATAGATCTGAGGCATACATGTGTATAGTAATAAGAATACACTAGTTGTAAAGATATTTTCCCCCATTCCTATTTGCAAAACATGACTTTATCTTTTTGCTCTCACACAAACAAGTCATCTAACTCAATTTATATGTATTTGATAAATTTTTTCGAAGGAAAAAGAAAAAAAAAAAAAGGCACCTGACCGAGACGGCTCAATGCTCATAGTCCTCTTCTTCCTCCTCACCTTTCCGGAGCCACGTCCCACTTCTTCGCTTGTGATGACGTGCTTGTTCCTACTTTTGTTGATTGTCATTTAGGGATGTTTGGATTAGTTTTTTAGAAATGATTTTGTAAGAGTTTTGTTTTGACTTGCATGAAAATATTTTTTTTAAGTGTTTGTGGGTCTTTCCAAACACCCCTCAATCAGTCCTTTTCTCATTGTTGCATGCCTCAAAGAGACGATTTCCAAGTACAGTTAATTAAGGCCTTGTTAATCGCGCGAGATTACGTAACTTTCATAGAACTGATATCCTTAAAAAAATTCTCAAAGAAAATATTATATAAACAAAATTAGTATAAAATGCCCATTGAAATTGAATACACCCATTGTAAAATTTTTCAGTACACAATGTGAAAGTGCTTTTAATCAGCAGCCTCCTCATTTGGGGCCACTATCACCTTCTTTCGCAAGAATGTTAGGAAAGAATGATGAACTAGACAAAAAATAAAAAGAAAAAAAAAGTCTTTTTAAATTTGGATTAGAGTACAATTTTAACAATTAAGTTTTGTGCAAAGAGTGACTGGCATCATTTAGTTTTGAAGGATGTAAAAATAAACGCAAACATTAAAAAGTGGAGCAACTTCGCCACTACCGTTAAATTGAGCAACATTGCCTGTAAATGTCATCAATGGCAATGTCGTCGCTCAGGTAGATGACCCAATCATTCAAAGTCTTGAAATTATCGGCGGCCATTGGGGCACTGCAGGCTTCTCCTTCATCTTACATTACGCCATAGATTACTTGAAACCGGAATGATAATTCCTTTATCAAAGATTCTAATTATAATTTTGCTTCAATAATACAGAAGGAGGCGAAGGAACCAACAATAAAGAAGTGGTGTGGAAGTGGTGCGAAGGAAGTGGGGGAAGATAAAGAAGGAGGCAGAAGATGAGTGAAAGTTGTGAGAGAGAGGGTGGAAGGGAGAGTGAATATTGTTAAAAGATGAAAATGCCCCTCTATAGTTTTTTTTTTTTTTTAAATGAAGGTAAGCCATAGGTAATTCCTCTGTCATTTTTCAGCAAATTGGTGATTGCTCCAGGTCTAATTTTTTCGCCTCGATGATACTTGTCTGTTGAATTATTAGATTCTCACCTTTTAGTGGACTTCCAACGATGTTGAGGGGGTTAGGTTCTGGCAATTTCTCTTTAACCCTAATTCCTAAGCAATGACTCGTGATGTTCGTGGAATGATATGATCTAAAGCATATATAGACACCCATGACGTCTTCCATAAAATGCGCAGCTGCTAGTTTGAGGCAAAAGAATAAAACAGTCTTTCTCTTGCAGTGCTAATAATGTCGTTTACTCTCAAGGAAACCGTCCTACAAGCATCTCAATCAATATTTGATTATAATAATGAATAATGATTTGTTCGATTTTATATTGCCACTATGATATGATAGGGAGAAAATAATGAGGAAGACCATGTCGAGAATCCAATTGAACAGTTATTGGATGCTGTATCCACTGGGGCACAACTCTTGAAGTGTTTCCCAGAAGAAGCTAATTTAACGTCAGCTACGGCCTGCAAGCATTAGAATGTAAAGCTGTTAGGTACCCTATTAGGTCTTTAACTTATGATTTGCTTTGGGATTACTTGAGTTTAAATGCCTGATTTTGAATTTGGGTGATTAAAAAAAACTTTATTTTTATGATTTTTTTACATACTATAAAATAAAGGGAAGGTAAAAGACTAAAGCTGCAAGCAAGCCTGAAAGTTAATATGCTAGCGGAAGACGGAAAATGGTTTGAGCTTCCCGGGATATATGTGCGAGATTTTAGATGCATGGCTTAATAATCAGCGAGCCGTCGGTAAATTTCCCCTAAAAGATCAAAATCTGACAAAGTTAAAAGAAAACTAAACATGCATTACAACCCGTTTCTGGGAACTCTCTGCATCTCTGTGTGTGGTGTATTGAAGAAGGAAGAGAATAGGCAGATAGAACTAAGATGCACCACCAGTAACGCTTCCATTGAAGATTTCGATGGTGTCGCCCTGAGCAACATGGTGCCATCGAAAAGGCTGATCGTCGTCCATCACATTCTGTCCGTAAATGAAGAAATAACCGTCAGAAGGAAGAGGAAGTTGATTCCGCTGGTGCAACTTCTGAAGCTCCTTCCTTAGCTCTCCCACGTTATCATTTGGATTCACTTCCACTGGTATCTTCTTTTTCCCACACTTTGTCAGAACCATCACCCTCAACTTCTTCGACCCGCCTCCTCCTCCGCCGCCGCCTCCCCCTCCTCCTCCGCTTCCGCCTCCCCCGCTATTATTGCCATTGCTCGTCGCGGGTACCACAACAGGCAATGGTCTCAAACTAACCTCAATCTCAGAGTATTCACAGATCTCACAATCCCGCAACATCTGATTATCATGCAATTCATTACCTGATAAATGGACCACTAGCTTGTTATTCATCGGCACGGCCTCGATTTCTTGAATTCTTTCTTTCAGCTTCAAGACTGTGTCGTTTGCATCCATTTCTAGGGTATACATCTTAGACGAAGGGGTTTTCACGTTGACGAGGAATTTCACGGTGGATGGCGCGGGAGAAAACTCCTCCGTCATCTTGCCGGGCAGGTTCTTGAAGAAATCGGCGGCGATGTGGAGCTGAACGCGAGAGTTATTGAGGAGAACGCATTTCTCGATGTCGGCGTCGTCCGGAAGAGTTTGGCCGTTGAAGATTAGGGTTTGCATCGAGACGGGAATGCCTTGGTATTTTTCAATCTTCTGTTTGATCTCAAGAACGGTGTCAAAGAACCATACTTCGATCATGAACGGTCTTCCTGGCTGGGGTTCGAAAATTAAATCCATGTTTATTATTTAAATTCACAGCCCAGAGATTAATATATGGATTTTATAACAATGTAGATTTGGCAACTTGAATGAGTATAACAGAATTAATAAATTAGTTACTTCCTGGTTTGTAACAAATACCCGATTTTGTCTAACGAAGAGCCTAAATAGGTGGTGATTTTAATTCTTTTGCATTTACTTTTCGCATTTAATGCCATTAAGTTCTGCCTCATGCATGTACATAGTACTCCTCTAATCCTTAATATAAGATCTATTTAACTAATTTGATTAGATTAAGAAGTTAGGAAGTTAATTAATTATAAGAAATATGACATGTTTTCCTAAAATACCATAATCATCTTCTTTAATATCTTCTCTCCCTCTTCTACTTGATTATAGTTAAAGTATCCATAAGGTTAATTTAAAAAAATTGATAAATTTGAAAAATAAACCTTATATCTAGGATCAAAATCAACTCAACAACTAGGTCCTATATTAAGGATCGGAGGAGTATATTATTTGTCATGTGTAGTTGTTTCTCACATACTCATCTGGTCCTATTTATAGGACTAAGAGAAATTTTTTATATAAATGTATAATTTTATATCTTATTTATTATTGTGTTGACTTTATTTACATGAAATGTAATGTATATTAAATAGGGATAAAGTTAAAAAGTTATTGAATTTTAAATGAGAGTTAATAAGGTTTAAGATTTTTTTTGTCTGTACGAAACATGTTGGAAGTGACTTATAAATATGATCAGAAAAGTATCAAAAAGAGCATTAAATAGATAAAAAATTTTACTTGTCACTCGTAAAAGTTTCTCACATGCCAAGAAGAGCATTGAATAGATGAAATTTTTGACTCATGAGCACATTAAATACTAGTATATTTGCTCTCACATGCTGACATACGAGTATTTCTTATTTTTCACCTTTTTTACTATAATTAATAAGAGCGGAATTGAAAATGAAGCATTAAAAAGATACAAATGACAAATAAAAAGGATCAAAATTTCTCCCTACAGAGTAAGCATCTGAATGGTATTTATTAAGCGGCCAATTAATTTAATTAATTGGCCAGTAAATTTGAGTATAAGTTGCAAGGGTAGTCAAATTTATGTGCACACTGCACAGTCTGATCCAGATGCGTTGCACGTAAAGATCCAATTGAATGTAATTCTTTGGTCAAACCAAAAATTTAATGTAATTCTAGTTAAATACTCAGTAGCCGGCTAAACACAGAAAATGGTTTAATGCTCGTTTGATTTTCACGTTTTGGAGTAATGTGAAAACAATTTATATTTTGTCGGTAGTGTAAATATACGATATTAATTTGGCCAAAATATTAAATAAATATACAATATTAATTGTTTAATGTTTTGACCAGAATTTAATTATTTTAATTTAATGCCAAAATTTTGGTCAAGAGAAAATTTAATGCCAATTAACCCTCATAAATCATAATATCCTTTATTTTGCTGTCGTATATGTCATGGCTTTTAGCCAGGTTAAGTCATGAAGTAAATGTACTTTCAAGATTGGAATAAGCATACAGTTGAACCTTGGCCAAAAATACAGTCCATACAGATGTATCTTTGAATCATAAATCCCCACAATTAAGTTTCTAAAACAATTTCGACCTGGAAGTGAAATTAATCGTCAAAGGTTCATCACTTAATGGATTTGATTTTGAATCATTTTGAGATACTCCGTCTGCTTAAAATTATAAAACATTTTCGTGAAGTAATATAATTCGCTTAAAACTATAAAGTACTTTTTTGGTTTCCAGAATATATAGTTAATAATTTTTTTAAAAAAATCTATTTACTAGGTATTAAAAGTTAACAACCAGCCATTCTTATATTTCTCACATGAGACACATATTAAATGTGGGGAAAAGGGGGATGTAAATTTTTTAAAGTAGTTAAAACTGTTTTATAAGTCTAAAGAGAGTTTGACTCAGAAACTAAACTCAAAGGGTGAAGCTAGCACCAGTTTAAAGAGGTCGAGTTGATAGATCTTACAATATTACCTCAAATCTTTAATATAAAAGTTAGTTAACTAATCTGAATATATTAAAAAATTAGTTAAATTAGTTATTTGTAATAAATATGTATTGTGTTTTTTAAAATATCTTGCTAATTAAATATATTGGACTATAACTACTATTATAAGAACTATCTTAAAAAAAATAGATAAATATGATAGACAAAATAGATTAGGGTCTTATATTTAGGATTAAAATAATATAGTTAAACGAGCTTTTACGTTAAGAACTGGATTTAGCACAAAACATAAAAATGGTAAATTCGAAGAATCAGTCCACAAATTTGACAAAACGTAAATACGAATGCTGTCTTAACTAGCTCAGCTTTACACCAAAGTCAGGATAAGGATATCAGAGCTGGAAGCAGAAGCATGAAACAGAAATCTGAGAGGCGCAACCCCGTGAGACGAACATATAACAAGTCAATCGTTAATTTGTTCATAAAATTAGAGATCCCATTTAAGAAAAACACGCCCAATATTTTTTCAAATAAATGGTGATGTGTGTGTGTGTGTGCATAAGAAGTATCGGTATTCAGAACTTGTTTGGTTAACATAATGAAAATTGAAAATTTAGTTTTAATTTAAAAAGGGGAAAAGTGTGTATTTTCTTAATGAAAATAAAGTGAGGGGCAATAATAAATTATTATCATAATCACAATATAAAAATTAGTTTTAATTTTGCATGGCTCTTCTACTTCCATCTCCATCTATATAAGAACAAAGAACAAGAAATCACCAAACGGTCAAGTACGAGAATGCATCTCCTGAGAGCCTACATGATTTGACGTCGTCGATCTTCATATGCAAACGATTAAATCAGCTGTGGCCAAACTTTGCCATAGACATCCTTCTTACTGTATTGTCGATCCCAAGACCAAGGCACATCTGCAAGAAAAAGCGAGGGAAAAAAATGTAAATACAATATTGGTACCAACCATAACAAACAAGAAATCTTTGTGATTGTCAAAAAACGTGACCATTATACATAAAAACACCATATTGTTCTCCGTAAATTGCAATGTGCGAGGATAGAGCAGGACCTTGAGAAGAGTAAGGCTGAGGAGGAAGCTCGTAAGGAACCGGTAACGGAATCACTTCTGATGATGAATCCGCAGCCTCACTTGTCATCCCAACCAGGGTCACAAATTTTGTTCTGCGCATTTGAGAAGATCCTTGTTCCCTGCAACTAACCTGTATTTTTTTTTTTTAATGACTCAAACTTTTTACTCGTTAAATAGTGAAACAGCACCAAAAAAGCGAGGATTTTTTTTTACCACCTCTGATGGACTAACGGGATCTGTACAGGAAAAGTAACAACCTTGTCTTTTAAGCAATGATGGGAGAAACAACACTCCTAGCTGCGAAAGAATATGTGTCAGTGCTATTAAAGAAATGAAGTATGGGAAGAAAGTGGTTTATCATGAATTTTTGGTGTACGGAAAATTTGGACAAATACCTCGTACGAACGGATCATCAACTGAGAATTGTTTTTCTGGAGAGCTCCCCAGGCTGCTTTACTGAGGTTCGCGGAGGTTAACAAAAACCAACTGTTTTGGAAGAGGGTAATTTCATCATCAGCTATGGATAGCCAAGAAATGCAGCAAGAAACCAAACTTTCAAAGATCATAAAAATGGGGTGATAGAATTCTCACGCAAGGTTCTGGCCATTATAACGTGTAAAAGTCTTTATATGGGGCATGGCACGACTGAAACAAAGAAAGCGCAAGAATTAGGAGGGATACAGAAGATGCTTATGATCCCCAGACAAACAATCATAAACAAAGAAACTAAATCACAACTACCAAGAAGAGATGAAAAGCGAATTTAAGAAGTTTCAATCAAATCTTACAGCTAAAGAATCTCCATTTAAATACAACTTTAAGGAACGACTTCTGTTGCTTATTATCAACCCCTTACCTGCGACCCGTATGATCTGCTTTCCATTTTGCCCAATATTTTTTCAAGAAATCTTTTTCTACATTCTTCAGAGGACTAGGGATTGCACTTCCTGCTGCATAACCCTTTTGAAGAAATAAAAGCACATTAGATATTGTCCAATAAGCAAATTTAAAAATTCAATTATCAATGACTAATCAAATAACAAAATAGAACTTGTTCAGTTATTTTATCCTTTACAAACCAAAATCGATTCGAGAATATCACCCAGCAAGGAAGGGTTATGCTTTCACACTTTCGAGCATCACAACAAAAGATGGCCAGGATCCCAAAGGATAGGCATGACAATCAAATGTGATAGTCTACAGCTAAAAGATTAAATGATGTGCATATCACCCAATAACAAAAGAGTAGTTATCAAAATGATGAGAAAAAAAGATAAAATAAAATAACAGAAACTACAATCGTCAAGATTTTGATCCAGACCTCTAAAGAGCACCTAACATCTTCTACAGTGGGAAATATCATCTGAGGCTTCCCAATGCCAAGTGGTGCTTTATCTTCTGAAAATCCAGCTGACATTGAAGATGTCAGCTCAGTCATCCACTTTTCATCTAAGGAGCCAAGGGAGGAAAACTGCAGTGCAAGGCTAGCTATATTAGAAAGAGATACCATGCTTAAAAATCTGCTATGAAAAGTTTATTAAAAAAGCCCCAGACCCTTTAGGAACAACTAACAGTCGACATATAACAACCTAAATAATTGCAGCAGTCAAGGAGGGATCAATTATAAAACAATTCAAAAATTGCCATAAGCTGAATGCAATCCACTGAACGAACAAAACAAAACAGCATGGAACTCTTGATCATTGATTTCTACATCTAAACAGAGGAAGGAATTCTTGGTCAATATTGATTATTTGACATCCACGGAAACTGCCTCTCAACAAGCATACAGCTCAGGATACAGTGTGACAGTACCTGATAGACAATAGGAGAATTCTTGAACTCTTCATCGAATGTACAGTCGTGGAGAAGTGACTTCAATTTCATATGTCCCCACCTTTTTAAGCTAGTGCCAGTATGATATCCAGGTACAGATGCAACTAATCTGACCTGAAAACATATCAAGTCCGTCATGTGTGCTCAAGTACAATAGAGACACAACCACACAAGTTACGGATATCCTTCAAAGGCCATTGAAAGAAATTTCAAAACGTCAACTCAAACACATACCACTGCATTGCTATAATCAAACTTCTTGAAGAAAGATGGACTTATACTGAAGTTCCCAAGCGATGGTAGCATAACAGAGAATTCGGGCCACTGCATCACAAATTACACCATGATATATCTGCGATCCAAAGACTATCATTGTGCCAACAGAATAATAATGTCCCCACCTGATATGTCAAGATCTATATTGCATTCTCTAGAAAACTAAACAAATAGTTGTGACAGTATGAAGATAAGTGACAAGTTCTTGACAAAACACAGGCAGAACTAATAAAAAAGGAAATCATGCTCAATTATAAAGCCTTGTCCTGACAAAGGGATGGGCCAGGATGGATTTTTCCAGAATTTGAAAGGATAGAACAAGACAATTGCTCGCATCAATCTGATTGCACCATAGTTTTTCTTGGGACACTATCATGTTGTAGAAGAAGTAAACTATGTAAAGTATTCAATACCTTCAACACGTTGAGATATTCAATCAAATCATTTTCAAACCCAGATCCTTTGGTGGGATTATTTTGATCTTTCCATGGAAAATCTTGCATCCATAAACCTTGGCTCTTATTATTCCAGTCTACATAAATCAAATTTGCTGTATGTACAATAACTCTCACTCCCTGAGGGTAGACAAGAATCATGGCCTTTGAGTGGTGTGTCCCAAATGAAATTGGCAATGGTGGTTTGTGCAGAATCCAGCTTGCAGGCTTGATTCTCTGATAATAATTAAAGTAACAGATAACAATCATCTATCCATTAAAGGAAAAAAATCAAATTTTGTAAATGAGGGATATAGTTTATTAAATCTGAGAAAAAACCTTCATATAATCCACCTTGCCATCACTCTCCCCATGAATAACGAGCACATGGGGGATCTTTGAAAGTGCTGGACATGCTGCACCAAAAAAATACAGTAAAGAGCATAGTGAAGCACAGAGGAATTGGATTAGCCACAAAAGTATTCAAAAGACATTATTTCATACTGATGCTGCAACAGAGAGATTGGTCATGACGTTGTCCCTTTTAGATAACTGACTACAAGAATGCTCTAAACTAGCTGCACTACCAAATGTGACATGGAAATGGGTTCCAATAAATGTAGTGATGGAAGAAATAAAGGAGGGGGGGAAATGAAAAGAACGAATAACCCAAACTGCACCGTCAAACCCAATATGCTAGAACTGCAGAACAATATCAGGCACAATCTGAAAAGAAATTGGAAGTTGGACGGGTAAACAGGCCAATCTGAAAAGATAGATCACCAGGTATCAACCAGTCAATATCCACCATGTAATTTGACAGGACAGCAACACGAATATCACCCTACCCAAAATGAGGGAGAAAATCAGTTAAGAAATTTCAATTATAAAACAAGCTAAAGGGCTCAAATTGAAGATAATCGTCTTGCACAATTATTCTTCGACAAACAATTTAAAAATTAAAAGTTAATACAGAATCAACACAAGAGTGGATTTATCACATATTACAACAAAAGGAGATCCTTTGAGGGGCAGTGAAAAAAGGAGAGAACAACTCGTGCTCAAAAATATTAGTGTCATTACCTGAATAACATCATTTATTGAAACACAAGATGTATTTGCCCACTGTGGTAGCCCCTTCACACTTAGAAGTCGAAAAGTTGAAGGCAATTCATGATTAGGGACATGGAAATGGCGAATGGCCTCTGCACTAGTGTCTTCAATGGGTTGCGAACTATTAGATTTATGTGCCGCCACATTTCTTCCTCGTTCTTGGTCGTATCTTTCAACTCTATTTTGCAGAGTCTACAAAACATAGAAGATGATCAATTTCGAACGTAAGAGGGAAGAAACAGAAGAATGTGCGTTTAACTTTTAGTCAAACAAGAAAGCAGAGAAAAGATCCCATAACCAACATACCCATACTCATAAACAACCCCCCCCCCCCCAAAAAAAAAAAAAGAAAAAAGAAAAACCGGGGGGAACACACACACACAAAGGCTAAAGAAAATACCTCAGAATTCCTGCCAGAACCTTCTTTTCCAGTTGATACTTCATTACCCTTCCTTCCACAAGTAGAATATCTTTTACCAGTACTAACTGAAGACACTTTTTTCTCACCACCCAATACTTCATATTTATAAAGATGATGCCCGGGAATAAATTCTATAATATCTCCAGCGGAAACTGTAGCTTTGTCTTGAGAATTCAACTTCTTTCTTTTATTCCCCGAATTAACAACGATTGGATTCGTTCCCTCCTACATTTGCAGCTACTAGTCATGCTAAAAATAAAACAGTTTCAAAATGCAGGAAATAACGGGGAAACGTAATCCCGATGAAGGCTTCAAAACTCAATTACTACCACAACCAAATTAGCAGACCCATCAGCAGAAGCAGTCAAAGTCAAGTGCTTGCGGCTAAGTCTCTTGTCCGATACAGGAATATTGTTCCGGCCGATAGTGTTTGAACCATCTGTAACGGGTAACTTTGGCACTGAAGTGTCTTCCTCTAAATTTTGATTCAGTGGAACCAGATATCCAACCTTCACACAAGCAAATCAAAGCGAACACTTCGAAATCAAGAACCACCATAAAATTACAGACAAACAGAAAATATCAACATCCGAGATACTAAATATCGACATTATGCAGAAAGGACCTGCGACAGAGACATGATGAAGCTCGGATTGCATGAAACAAGACCGCGCAGCAGAGCAGGCACCCGGGTCACCCAACAATTTCCGAAGGGGTTTTGCTAACGGTCCGGATGCAAAAACCCAAGTCAATCAAAACCGCTATTCGGTTCCCTTAAAATAAAAATTTAAGAAATATATTTTTAATTCACTTGACAAAATTTTGACACTTCTGTGTCAATTTTTATAAGTTTCCCATATTCTTATTTTTATAATTAATTTTGAAAACCTAAAATATAATTAACATGTTTTCTCATTATGCATGAATACTGTTGAATACGTTGGCAAGAAAATGAATATTTTTGAATAAATATGGTAAAGAAATAAATTAAATTGTCAAGAAAAATCATCAATAATGACAATACAGTAATCTAATAATAGAAATGATTGATTCAATCTATTCTAATGTATTGATATCATCAATTAGATATAAAAAATCTCACTTCGTTGGCAAATATTTACCATTTGCCATAAAAAATCCTTAAATATCATGTAAACAATATAAGGTGTGTTTGGATTATCAGTGATATAAAAATAACTTTTTTAATCTGATTTTTATAAAAAATTAAATTGGATAAAAGTCAAATGGAATAATATAATTTATGTTTAAATTAACTTTTATAAAAAAAAAATAATAGAATCTTTAAAATTGACTGGATTAATTCATACTGACACTAACTAAATCTATTGACACAAATCTTTTAAAATTGTCATGTATCAAACTTTTGTATCAAATGCATGTGAATAAACTTTTTCTTAGTTGAGCAAATGATATCTCCTCTACCACCCCACCCCTCCCCACTCTAATGAAAAAAATTTCCCCAAAAAAAAAAAAAAAGAACAAGGAACAGAATCATAATTTTCACTATTATGCTAATACAGTTGTGTTGAACCCTCCCTCACCGTCAGTAAAATGCTCGTACATCAGAAGTAAAGCATCATCCGAAAGACTACAACAAAAAAAGTTATCTCCTCCGCTTAGATTCTTTACGCATCTCCGCAAGGTAGCTCTCCAGGTTTGATTTCTTCCATAAACGCCTTAACACAAGGTCTTCCTTTGTCCCGTCATCTGTTAAACAAAACACGATGAAATAATTAACTCATTTGCTTACTGCCCCAGAAGAAAGCTCAATCTAAAATAAATTGTACTCACCCATGCTTCTCCATACATCCTGGGGTACACCAAGGGACCTTCTTGTCAGAAAAGAAGCATCTTCCCAAGTATAGGGGTGTTGCTTAAACTTGTATCTCCAAATCCAGCAGCCAGACCACAACAGCAACTAAATAGAGGAGGAAACTAATTAATACTTGAACATCGACCAAAATAATTGAAATTCATGGATCAGCTTGCAGGAAGGAATTGCACATACTGTAAAATTGTAATCAAACTAGAGCAAAAACAATATCTATATGCTTATTTTTCAAATTTCAGCTTCCAGATGCAGAGTTTGAGCTCAACCTTGCTTAAAGTGTAAGGTAAGAGAATAAAGCGGACACCAATAAGTTCCCATACAGCGGGTTTCTCAGCTCCCTTTATCTGCAATTCAAGTTCTTTGCTAAGGTCTTCCTGCATTTTCCTGCACACCCACATGACTCACATTGCGTTAGTCAGCATTAAAGGTTTTAAAATATAAGGTCAGCAAAGTCCAATCTTATGTATTAAGAAGATTGATTCAGAAGAGAAAACTAATAGTTTGCATGGATGACAAAAGCAGTAAGCATTTTGGTTGAAATAAGGAAATTACATCCAAGACCAGATATTTATTTCTACGAAATAAGGACAATAACCATACTTATCCGTATTCTTCTGAGTCCTCTTCTTGTTGGCAACTCCTCCACTGCGTTCCAGTTCCAATGCCTTCAGTCTATTTTTGTATGCCGGTGTCTTCTTGACCATATCTATAGCCTGGAGACAAAGAAATAGTGGTGCAATGAGTTTATTGTTTCAATTTTCAGAAATATTCCTTTTTATACAAACAGATGCATCAATCCCTAAACAGGTGCTGCAGATATCTCCCGAAGGACATACAAACACATGGCCCTGAACTATGCTAAGCCTTTACCAGTTTACCATGCATCACAAATTCGCACTACAAATTCTAGTTGGAACTGACACCAGCATTCCTTTGATATGCATGCTACAGAGAAATTATCAACATTGATTTGCCAATGTGAAAGTTGGGTTATGACAATACAACCTAGCTTAACTTAGGTGCCTTGAAAACAGGATCCGCAAACAGAGAATGACGTCCTTACCACAATGCACATGGCATAAGTAGGAACAATACATAGAAAACGCAAAATTCACGATAAGTGCATGATGTGACAAGATTCAAAAAGAAAACAATATCAATAGCTGGTTGAATCGGAAAAAGCTAGACTCATACTTTTGAATTGCCAGAAACAGCAATTCAGAGCACATGCTTGATGAAAAAGATGATTAACAAGAAATTCTTACCTGAATGACATGGATTTAATCAAATAGCCTTTTTTCTTTCAAATGAAATTAACAGAGAAAATCATATTGGTAAAAAAGTTGGAGCCAGTTGACTAGAATCTCGTTTCCATATGCATACATCAAAAACCCAAACTTGGATGTATATACTGTCAATTACTGATCTAAGTTCATTACTTCAAACACTTCTCTAGGGTATATATTTTTTCCATGTGCATTTTAACTGTACAATTTCATACAATCTATAATTTAAAAAAAAAAAAAAAGGCCCTTTCAATACACAATTCAAATCACGAGTCAACTACTATGATATGATGTATCGTAGGCATGGCTCCCGAGCCTTTAGCTGGCAGATTAGAGCAAAGAGTAAGATAGATGAATAATTATATGAATGGAACAATGCACGTTTCCTAGCTGCAATAGTTGGATCAACATTTAGCAATTCCAGCACACAATTTCACATCAAGAAAATGTTATAAATATTTAGCTGAAAACTTAAAATCATGGTACCTGATTATACCTTGTCCACCGATTTAGGTACTGGAAACCTGAAAGAATAATAAGAAGGCCAACCAATACAGCACGAGGATCCTGGCAGGTAAAAGTAGACAGTAATATGAAGTCAGAATCAAGCCAGATTGATCATTCAACAATTTCATGCAATTCTGAAACTGAATTTGTTACTTGTTACCACTGAAAGTGGAAAATAAAAAACTCACCGTTTTGTGACCATAATATGCCCGATAGTATTGTGCAGTATTATAAAACACCTGCGATAACAAAATTTTCAACTCAGACTTTGTAAATAATTAAAACACAAGGAACCTAAAATTGCATTTCTTTTGGACCCTAAAGAAGCAATTAAGCGAGTACTGTCTTCCCCTTCTCATGGCTTGCTTGTCCGCATGATAGAAAAGGGGGGAAATAAAATGTAGGTGCTGCCGAGGTACCAATGGCAAGAGAGGAAGTATGCCTATGTTGCACCTAGACAACTGACTATTTAAATTCTACATCTACGCCTTAGCAAAATTTGTACCTCACTTGATTTCATTTGTAAACTCAGAGGAACAATTATAAGCAGAGAATTTGTTGCATATAAAGAGTCCATTTGTTATAGTGTTTTGCATTTCTTATGCACAGAATTCCAAATAACTCTAATCCAATCAAGTTCAAAGTCACTCAAGATGTGGTAAACTGTTTTCATGTGGATAAGTTATGATCACTTTATTAAAATATTCGTGTTACTTCACATGAAATGGTCAACTGTTTAATCTGTCAGTCAGACACCTCCATATTCACATAAAGATCTTTCTAGAACACAAAATGCAAGTCAGCCCTTTAGTTTCTGAGGCAAAATTTTCTTTAACATCCTGAATAAAAACCACGGAAACCAAGACAGATGGCTAAAGCATACATGTCAATGAAGCAACCAGTACTTCTCATGCCATATCAAAATGCATTATTAAGAAATATATTGCCTTATCTATGGATTAAATAAACATGGCAATGCTCATTATGCATATCCATTCATTTTCGATAATTTAGAGGAGGAGCCGTCAGAAAACTTAGATAAATTACCTCCTCTGGATGTGCAATTGCGTAATCATATTGTTCTCGTGTGGCCTCATCCTTCAAAATCTGTAAACAAGTTCAATTTCTATCATTTTATCAAGAAACATGAGATTGATGAGCAGTAACTTGGAATTTACATAGACGTTTTAACTTGCTAGCTTTTAGAGTAATTTTATTAATTTATTAAAGACGCAGTTTTTCTTTTCTGAAAGGAGATCATAACCTACATTCTAATCATTGCCATATTCAGATTGCCAAAATTGACAACCACATAAAGCCTTAAAACAAGAACTACGCACCTCATAAGCATTGGCAATTTTAACAAACAGCTTTCTCGATTCTGGATCAGGGTTTTTATCCGGGTGACTGAAATTAGCATTGATACATAAACAAAAAATGAAAAACGGCCAATTTTGAAAATTTAAACAAGAAGCGAAACAAGAAATTACTGGAAAATAGCTAAAACAACAATGGCGGCAGCTTACTATTTCAACGAGAGTTTGTAGTAAGCTTTCTTGATTTCCGAAGCATTAGCATTCTGAGAAACCCTACATTAAAATCGCGGATTACAGCAAACCAACTAGATTGTAGAAGTCCAGAAAAGTGAACATCTAATTGGGAAGCAGAGGAGCTGACCCTAGTAGATCGTAGCAGTCATCTTCATCGCAGTAGATTGCCTCCGAAGGAGAGATAACAACTAAAAGGATTACAGTCAATAAAAATGCCGGCCACCGAATCGGTGCCGGTGGCGCGTTCATCGCGGGTGCCTTATGTATCTCACAAGAAGATGGCGCCTGGTGATTCTTCTGTTCCTCCTTTGGTCAATGGAAGCTGGCCTCCGCAATTCGGATCTATTGCATTTTCGTTTTTATTTGGGAATTTTTTGCTCCCGTAAAATGTTTTTATCAAGGAATGCCTGAGTTGTTTTTGTGTGATTTTGATTTTGATTCGATCGATAATTTTACATCATATTTCGGGTTTAAATGGTTTTAACTTTTAAGTCAATAAATGTTAAAACATTTCAAAATTTGATAAAAAGT